GATTGATTAGATCACTTTCAATTCATATTACTTTATCTTTATAATTACTCTTCATACTATTACATCAATACTACAATAAATTTACCAATATCACATAACGTTAAAATTATACCCACTAAAATTTATATAAAAGGAAACTAATTATTAATTAATAAACCTCCCTAAATTTAAGCTTGGTATTGATAATCTGGGAATTGTCTCAAGTTTTCTTCTAATTTACCTTTTCTTGATAAAAATTTAACAAAAGCACCATCATCTTTAACTTCACCAGCATTTCTTTTTTCAACATATTCAGCTCTGTTTAAATTAGTGAAACCCCATTTTTTAGAGATAATAATTTTTTGTTGACCTGGGAATTTATATCTAGCTCTTCTTAAACCTTCAATAGCAACTTCTTTGTTTGAATCTTTAGTTCTAACAGAGAAAATAATTTGACCAATATCAACACGAGCAGCTAAACCATGTGGTTTACCCCAAGCACCTCTCATACCTTGTTGTAATCTATCCGCACCGGCACATGACAACATCTTGTTAATTCTTAAAACATGGAAAGGATGAACACGAACTCTTAAATGGAAAGATTCACGACCAGAGATTTTAGTAATATATTTGTTTGCACAAATACGAGCAGCTTCTAAAGCTTCTGAAGATAATTGTTCTAATTCATTTGAAACTAAATGAATACATAATGGGAATTCATCAACAGTAGCCTTCTTTCTACCTAAATCATAGATACGAATTTTAGAATCTGGAACAGCTCTGTTGTATCTAGATTTTGGGAATGGTTTGTTCTTTTGGTATCTGTAACATCTAGCTGGACGTCTAGCCATTTTGAATGATTTATATCCTTTGTTTGATGATATTCTTCTAAAATAACTAGTTGTTGTTTAAAGTGAAAATTGTTTTATTATATGAAAAAACTCAATGTGAGAAGCTGATTAGAAATCGAAACCAGTCCGGGTAAAAAATTGGCAATCCACTTTCAAATTCCCATAGTTAAGCGCGCTTTTAAAGAAAAAAAAAAGTTTGTTTGCCACTGAGATGACAAATTCCAATTCGCGAATTTGCAATTAACAAAAGATTATTAATAAATTTAATGAAAATTTGTGACTGTGACTGTTGCATCCAGACACCAAAACAACTCAGAGACACCATCGATAAAACCATTATAACCGTTTCCTTGTTTGGCTGGAGAAGGGTTTATGTTAAAGGCATCACTGGATATTACCTGAGTAGGAAGTCTAGAGATCATCAGGTAATAAAAAAAATTTATCTTTATCTATTAAACCTTTATCAATATGACTTATTTACATTGTAATTTGTAAATACAATAACAAGAGACATTAATCATGGGCAGATATTCAGTCAAGAGATATAAAACCAAGAGAAGAACAAGAGATTTAGATTTAATATATAATGATTTATCAACTCCAGAATCTATATTAAAATTAAAAGATTCACCATTAGATGAATATAAAATTGGTATGGGTCAATTTTATTGTATTCATTGTGCAAAATATTTTGAAGATGATTATTCTATTAAAGCTCATTATAAATCTAAGATTCATAAAAGAAGGGTTAAGGCAATTAACGAAAGACCTTATACAAACTTGGAGAGTGAAGCTGCAAGTGGGAACAATTTAGAAAAATTTTTAAAAAGTGTTGAAGTTCATAAAGCAAGAAAAGCGAATGAAGAATTACATAAAGATGAAATTGAAAAATTGTGTAAAACTGATCATCCAAAATTGATTGGTGTTACTAATGAAGATGAAGTTGAAATGAAGGAATAGTTCTGTTTCTAGTAATAATATTGCATATTGTACATTAGAGGGTTATAATTTTGGGTTACATATTTTTTGGATTTTTTAAATATTTTTGGCGTATATATCAATTCTATATTTACATAAGGGTTGTTTCAAACTTCACCAAAATCAAAATGTTTAACAATTGTAGCATGACGATTAATTTCTTTTTCACCTTTTAAAACCAAACCACATTGTTTACATTTAACTTGAAATGTATTTGTATTTGTTACATAACCTTTATGATTCAACCCTTGGGATAATTTTTGTGAATATTGTAATATTTCATTATTTGATTTATTAAATATCCTTGTTTCTTTTATATTATCTTTATATATAATACAATCATAATGAATCCCCGTGAATAATACAACTATGAATTCTTGAGCATCTGGATTGAAAGAATCAATACGATTATTTTCCACATCAATAGAATGTATAGTTATATCAAAGAATGTGCTCAAGATTTGTAATTCTATAGCACCACCCCAACTTGTTGGTTTTAAAATCCATTTAATATATTCTTGTATAGGTTTACCTAATATTGCATCATTATAAGTTTCAGGGTTTGATAAGATGTATTGTTGTATAATTTCTCTTAAGTTTATTGAAGATTGGGTTAGATATGCAATGGAATTGAATAAACATGAATTATCATCATCAATTTTATGTAAATGGATTGAACCTTTAGTATTTGGTATTTTGAGACTTGTCTGACTTGTTGATATATCTTGTGAAGGTTTAGTTAATTCAATTTTTTGCTTTGTTGATGTTGATGTTGCCTGTTGAACTTGTCCATTAGTTCCATTTTCTTCAATGATTAATTTATCACCAGGTCTAATACCCAAATCTAATATTTGTTCTTGTAAATTTGATAAATTTATTGGTTTTGGTGGGAAACCAGATTTAATAATCAAATTATTGGAGTGACTAATAATACCATCTGTTTCTAATAACTTTAATAATTGTGATACTTGTGAATCATCTTGTATTGATATAATTTTTTGTATTGATTTATTAACAACTTTTAATCTCATAGTATAACTCCTTCTATAGTATGAATCTCAAATTGTTCCTAATGTAGAAGATGGTAACTTTAAATAACAGAACAAAAACAAATTTCTTATCGTAGTGGGAAGTAATTAAGATCCGAGGTATATCATGTGACTGAAAACGTGATGATAAGAGTCGGAATTGAAACCACAAAACACACTTTTAACTACTATTAAACAAAGACAACACAGAATACTTCAAACAGATCAAATGAAATGAATTGAGTAATGGACTATGGTGTGTTTCGAATAGATTATTATGAAGTGCTAGTCTATTTCATTAATAAGTATATTACTCACTTTCATATTTATAGCATTGTCTTCTCTTCCCTTCGCTTCCCTTCGCTTCCCTTCTATTATTGTTATTATGTGAATCTGATCTCAATAGCGCGCTCGCGATTCTAAATACATAATCAACAATTGAAGTTATCATGACACATCAATAAACAAATAACAACAAATAGAACAACAAACAACGAGAACTACACAATGGTTTCACAGATACGGTCTATCAAAGAACTAGTAGATGAGGCTCATGATTATGAATACTCCACTGGTGTCCCTCTAAAGATCTATTTAAGAACTGCTGAGAACTTAAGCAGGCATGTAAGTATATTGTGTGGTAATAACAAAGTGAACGAATACTAACTATTCATACATAGGCTGATTTATACTATGCACAGAATGCACTGAGTGATGCGTATAAACTATACGTACGATTCCTAGAGTGAGTATGACGTCCATTCAAACAATTATAGACTATTACTAACAACATTCTTCAGTCTTTTAACAAATAAAATATCCAAGAATCCACAATTGAAAAAAGGTTCTGATATTCATAAAAATTATTTAAAATTATTATCTTCAAAAGCTCCAGAAGCTTTAAATAATGCTGAAGAGATAAAATCCAAAATAATTAAAGAAATTGAAAAAATTGAACATTATTCCAAATTAAAATTTGAACAAGATCGAATTAATAAACTAAAACAACAATTAACTAAACCAACACCTAAACCAGAAGCGCCTAGACCTTTAGTTCAACCACAACCAACAAGACCTGAATCTCCATTAGACTTGGAATTTGATGAAGAAAAATTTGCACAAAAATTAAAACAATTCCATGGTTATTCAAATGATCAACAAGAATCAAGTTCATTATTATCAAACACATCTTATCCAACTTTAGAACATCATTATAATTCACAACCACAATTTTATACAGCTCCACAAACCCTAGCACCAAAGACTCCACCTCCAAAAATTCCATTAATTGAAGATCAACCAATAGAACCTTCAACAATACAAGATATAATAAAACAACCACAACATAAATCAATAGCATCAACCGAGGGAAACAAACCATTAAAGACAATATACCTACCATCACAACTCCCCCTTAAGTTCTTAAAAATCTCACAAGGAAACACTTCCAAAAACTTAGAAACTTGTGGTATATTATGTGGTTCATTATCATTAAATGCATTCTTTATAACAACTCTCCTTATCCCCCAACAAAAATCAACATCAAATACATGTGAAACTCTGAATGAAGAAGACATATTCACAACTTTAGATTCAAAAGATCTTTTCATACTTGGTTGGATTCATACTCATCCAACTCAATCATGTTTCCTTTCCTCTGTGGATTTACATACTCAAAATTCTTATCAAATAATGTTACCCGAGGCAATTGCCATAGTTTGTGCTGTTAAATTTGGTGAAATGGGTCAATTTAGATTAACTGATCCACCGGGCATTGGAATTATAACAAAATGTCAAAAATCTGGGTTTCATCCTCATGATGAATCAAATATTTATAAACATTGTGAAAGAAAATTTGGTGGTCATGTTGTTGTTAATGATACTTTACCTTTTGATGTTATTGATCTAAGAAAGTAAAACCACTAGCTACTACAGGGATAACTAATATATATAATTTTTATTTAAAATGAACATTTATACATGATTTTAAAAAGTTTTATGGATTTAACTTTATTCATTCCAACCTAATGAACTTAATTCTGATCTAATTTTATCTTCAGTTTGAATTTTTAAAACTTGAGTATCTTCTAAAGTTTCACCTTGAGCTTGTTTCATTTTTAATGCTTCAATAGCTCTTAATTTTTTTAATAAACCTCTAATTTTCTTTTCTTCAAGACTTTGTGTCCCTCCAACTATTAATGATTCTTGATGTTGAGGTTGTTGTGGTTGACTTGGTGGAGGTGTTTGTAAAGTTGGTGTAGATTCTTGACTATTTTCTTTTTGTTTATTTTCTCTTTTTTTACGATTTTTAGCTGCTGATTTTGATTCTTTTTCAACAGGTTTTGGTGCACCTGGAATTAATTTTGTTCTTGTTGGTGGTTGATAACTAGTACCAGATAAATTAGAACTTATTTCTTTTTGATATAATGATTGTGGAGTTGAGGATGAATTACCATTTCTTTGATGTGGTGGTCTATATGCACCTTTTGGTTTTGTTGAATCTCCACTAATTGGTTTTGGATTTTTTTGTTCAATTTCTAATACACTTGAATGTTGTGATGGATTATCATCTAATTTTTTTAAAGGTGGGAAAGTTTCAAGGGGACGTGGTCTCCAATCAACTGCAAATAATTCTTTAAAATCTTTATTAAAAATTAATTTCCCTGTTGCATACCAAACTTTAACTCCATTATCAACTCTTAATCTTGGTGATGTTGTTGCAGTTAAAATATAACGACCATCTGGTGACCATTGACATACTGAAGTATTTGATGCAGAAAATGATGAAATTTTTGAAAATTTTTGTAAACGATCATAAACATCAACTGTACCTTGTAAATTACCAAAACCTGCAACTAATACAAATCTTGCATGTGGAGAAAATAATATAGTGTTTTTTGGAGCAGGTGGTAATGAATATATAGTATTACCTCTTGCATCGAAAAATGTGGTTTTGGCAGGCATATAACCATAAACAACACCAAATTCTCTTGCAGATGGTGACCAAGTAATATCATGAATTGGACCTTCTTTATCTAAATGAATTCTTGAATCATAAGAACCTGCAATACCTAATAAATATAATGTAGTTTCACCATAATATGATTTATTTGATGCATCAACATCTGTTGAAGCTAATGCTAATAATGCAGTACCAATATTATTCCATCTTAATGTACATCTTTCAGCTTTGAAAAAAGTCTTGGAAGAAACTGGTTGAGTCATTGCTTGTGTAATATTATAAACACTAACAATTGCAGGTTTACCAGATTTTTCAGGTTTAAATACTGCAATTTTTGGATTTTTACCAGGAGACAATTTAAAATTTTGTAAATTTTCAATTTTTAATGATGACCATGCTTTATTAAAATTTAATTTTGAATTAACTTCATAAAATTTAATTTCATTTTTAAATTGTCTTGCAATTAAATTTTCATCTGGTGTAAAATCTGGTTTCCAATTACTTTGATCTCTTGCACTATATTCACCAAATAATTGACCATCAATTGATGTAAAAATCTTAACATTATTATGATAATTACCATCATCTTGTTTTAATGGTTTTTCCCAAGTACATAAATATGAACCTTGAGGAGAAAATTGTAAATCAAAAACATCTTTTAATTCAATTTTATTAACAATAGAACCATCATCTGGATTTATAATTGTAACAAAAGTTGATTGTGTAAATGCAAAATATTTACCATTTGAAGAATATTGAGTAACTCGAACATCATCTGTAACTTGTTGATTAATATCAATACCTTCATAACTTGGTGTACCTTGTATTATACCAACAGATTTTGGAGCTCTATAATAAAATTGTGTTAATGCAGACATTATGGAATGTAGATTGTTTTTGATTTTTGATCTATATTGACTGTTTTATCTTTAAGAATATTCAAATTTCAAGCCTCTTTAAAAAGTCTAGTATATAATTGTATTAACTTAAAATGAATTAAACCAACACAACACACTATGATCTGATATTTATATAACTAGTTCTTTCTAAGCAATATAAAATAGAATTCAGATTATTTATCACTAAGGTTCTTTTTTAACCACTTAACTTTCTTAAATCAAAACAGCTTTTCAAAATTACTTTGCCATTAAAATAAAAAAACGTCAACATCATCGTCCAATTTTTGGTTTTTTTTACATGGACAAATTTAAAATCGCGACAGGATTTTTTGAGCAGAAAAGCGCGAAATTTTGAGAAGTTTGTGAGAAATTTTGATTATGTTTAGGTATTTAATTTTGAGTGGTTTTTGAAGGGAAGTTTGAGGGTTTTAGTTGTGTTGAGGGTGTTTGGTGGTAGTGTATGATTATAGTGTGGTGAGTACTATGTTTTTGTGAAAGTTTGGAAAAAATTGGTGGGAAATTGAGGAATTAGTGCAAAGGTAGAAATTCATACAGAATTATATGTGAGAAATCTATTAACATAAAGATCTGAGGTTCATTGATAGAGAATCTTGTTTCTTTCATTTTGGTTCTCTAGTATTTCTCATTTTCTTTATGGAGGATTTAATCGATTATTCATGTGAAATAGAATCTAAAATATTCATAAACAAGAGGATCAGTACCAAACACCATGTAGAGCCATTAGAGAAATGATCATAAAATAGATCCCCCATGTTTGTGAACAAATATCTGAAGATTATACTGTCTCTTTTGGAACCAATTTGAGGTTTAAATAATCCTATATACATTTCATGATGTCCTACAACTAAGACTTAAAAGTTGATGAAATGTCTTCAATATCGTCGCGATTTGAATTATAGTCCAATACGTACACGAGATATTTGAAGCTTATGCCCAATCAATTCTCCTGGTATCTCAGATACTCTAGTACATAATACATATCATTATCAATGAATGGATTCTGTGAATCCTGATCCATGTAGTTATAATAAAGATTTACATATCACAATACAATTCGTAGATGTTCAATTCATCTTCACCATGGTTACCAAAATTCGATAGTATTTCAAACTTCAAAGTTAAACATTGAAGTACATAGTAATACCATAATGTACATTGTTTGGATAGATTCTGAAGTACGAACATATTGATGAATATATATACTAATTATAGTTTTACCTTTGATAAGTTTGAACGGTAAATTATCATCGGAGTCTATATTTAACCGTGTTGACCAGGTTTGAGGGAGCTGTAGTTTGTGATTGAAAGGGGGATAGGGGGATGAATCATGATATTTTATGGATTTTGAAGGAAAGTTGTATTTATAGCTTCAATCTAGCTTGACCTTTCTACACATATACAGTTTAACTTCAGACCATGCACCGTGTATGATTCGAACTTTGATAACTTTGATCCAATTACAAATAATCATTTTCAGTGCCCGTTTATAGATAGTATTTAGATCCAAGATAAACGCGCTTCAAATACTTGGTTTTAAACTTTAAATCTTGCAAGTTGTCAGAGCAAACAGAAGCTTTCGGCCTTCAAAGATGAAACCTTCACAAACAGAAGTTACACATAATACTACAAGCTCAACGAAACAATCATGATTATCAAGATACCAGGAACAAATTACAATGATACGACTGATTTTAAACAAGCTAGAGCTCAACGTTTCAACTCGACACGATGTACATTGATTGTGGTGTGTAGTAAAAAACTAAGTTGTGCTTGTATAGATCAAACGAATAAGGTTTAACGAACCAAACGATTCGTGAATCCAGAAATGTTATCTATTTATCCAAGTCTCATTGATGGCCATTACTGAAGATCTTTTAAAGACACGATTCAACTGAGAAGA